GGGTGAGGAGCAGAAAAGGCCTTGACTCTGTGTCAGCACTGCTCAGCAATAATGAAAACATCCCTGTGTTATCAACGCTGTTTGCAGCACAAATCCAAAACACAGCCCCATACTAGCTACTGGGAAGAAAATTAACTCTACCCCAGCCAAAACCAGCACACCCACAAAGACGCAGTTTAGCCACTGGCTGCTAAAGCCTGCTCTTGGGCTTTGCAGCTTAGACTGCAAAGCAAAACCTGAGTGCAAATACTCACAGGATGTGAGTTAACCAGTTAACCCAGCACTGCCAAGTCCACCACTACACCATGTCCCTAAGCACCACATCTACACATCTTTTAAATCCCTCCAGGGATGGCGACTCAACCACTTCCCTGGGCAGCCTGTTCCAATGCTTGACAACCCTTTCAGTGAAGAAATGTTTCCCAATATCCAATCTAAACCTCCCCTGGCACAACTTGAGGCCATTTCCTCTTGTCCTATCGCTTGTTACTTGGGAGAAGAGACCAATGCCCACCTCGCTACAACCTCCTTTCAGGTGGTGGTAGAGCATGATAAGGTCTCCCCTGAGCCTCCTTTTGTAAGTGCAAAAAGAAAAGTGAGCCTCCTTTTCGAGAAGTGCAAACAGCTTGTAGCTGGACCTGACCCTTTCATCATTTAGGACATCAGGTATCTGCATGTATTTCAGGACTGTTGGTTTGCTTGGTCTGGGTTTTACATGTGAGCTACTGTGTGCTTAAGCCTAGAAACGCAGAGTGATGCAGGCCATTCAAAACGGGAAAGGCTCTTTTGCCCAAGTCTGCTCTCTTGGGCACTTGCTGGCCCAGTCCACGGCAGCATTTGAGGTCCACACGTGCCCCTGGTTGTACGACCTGCGAGAGGCCTGTTTTGGGGAAAAGAATATGTGGGAAGAAATTTCAGGGTTTATCTCATGCTCTGCCTCTTTCTGCTTCCCTAGTTGTGTATGAGCACAGATCCCGGCTAGAACGATCCTTGCAGAAGGAGCGAGGGGAACACAAGAAGACGAAGGAAGGTGAGTCTCTTGCATGGGTGGCATAGCGGTGGCCAGACAACCCCCCAGCTGTCCTGTGGGGAGATGTGTGTGTTGTACCCAAAGCATTTTCTGCCTTCAGGGCCATGTGTGGATGTTACTGAACACCCCCCAGGTGAGACTCATCCCTGGATTGTACTTAAAGAATAGTTAACTGACTTTCCATTGCCCGTGGGCAAAAGGTGCTGGCAGGTGGGTTCTGTTCTCTCGTATTCCTACATATGTCTTCAGTCTAATTTGTGAGTAACAGTACCCATGATGTGGTGTTTGAGTACTTTAAGTGATAGCTAAACCTGGCACTAGACCATGCTTTTTTCTTGGAGATATGTAAACTTTCTTATAAAAGTGATCTGAAGATGCTGAGCTCTACAAGTGCTTAATGTTAGCATCACTGCACTCCATAATACATGGACAATACAGACTGTCAGATCCTTTAAAGCTGACGTACAAAAGCAGACAGACGTATGCAGGGTATTTTAAGACCATGAAATGCAACAGGAAGTAGAAAGCTAATAGATTTAACTCTTGTACCTTTCAGTGGAGTAGAGTGCTTGGATGTCAGGCCCCTTTGCTCCTGATTGTTGCTGGCAACGTAATAGCTTGGTTTTTATCTGCAAAACTGGTGTGTGGAGTAACATCACTACTCCTTACTCCTACATGCACTGTGTTTCTGGAAATGCTGACATACAGCATCCAGGTTTGGCTGTAGCTATGTGGCTACATACCTAAGGGGGAAGCTGCATTTCTGCCTCTTCTTGCGTTTATTTGGAGGGGACTGACTGAGAAAATGAAGCATCCTGATAAACGTTACCTTGTCATGGGACCTTCCAATTTTAAGAAGGTGGCGCAGATGAGATCAGCAGATGAGTTCCTTTTGGTCTCTCAGAAGCTTTGATTTCTCTTTTCCAGAGTTGTCATTTTTCAGAGCACCCCAAATCCTTACACGGCTTCAGTGACATCAAAATGTAGCCATTTGTGTGCTGAAATAGGAAGTCACCAATGCACTTGCCTATAGAATGGGAAAGGAAGGACGTTTGGGCCAGTCTAGATGGGTGGACAGCTCTCATGGATGCTACCATCTTTCTGAGGGCATTGAGTGGGGTCTCCTAGCAGCATCTGCATTCCAGCTTGTTGAGTTGCAGCCTTTTGCTCAGCAAGGGGCTGATTTCCTCCTTCCGTCCCCCCACCAAAATATAAACCAGATCCTTGTTAAATTCCAGCTCATTGAATTGTCTTCTCTTCTTCCATTTCTAGATTTTTTAGTGTATAAGTTAGAAGCTCAGGAAGCTCTCAACAAGGAGAAGGTAGGTATGGTTTATTCCTCAGAGTGTGTGTGTAGTAATGGCAAAGATTGTTCTAGTACCACCACAGTCATGAGGCCAGTGCTGCTGTCTGGAAGGCATGAAAGACTATGAGTGTGTATGGTACAAGATGAACTTTGGCTGACTCCACCTTGCGAGGCTGTTAGTGTGTGAGGATTTACTTCATCTTAGGGAAAGACTGTGTTGTGCTAGAGTTATTCTGCCTATTCTCCCATGTGTGACAGCAGAGTAGATGAGTTGATTGTCAGCTCTTGGTGTAGCAGGGAGTCCTGTGCTGCAGTCTGAAAAGAGAATTGCTGTTTCATGGTACAGAAGAGTCCTGGGGAAATTGAATGCAAGGCACACCACAGGGAACATGGAGAAGAAAGGCCATGGTGGTGTTGGGGAAAGCATATCCATTGTTTTCTGTCTCCAGGGATTGTCAAATGATTTCCACTAGCCTGTGGACTTCTCATTCGGCAGGGAAAAGAAGGACTCTTCAGTGAGGGTTAGGAAGAAATGCATCCCTGGGTTACAGTCTGTCCCATTCACCTGAAGTTACAAGGCTGGTTTAATTCCTTTCTCAGAGCATCTGTTGATGAGATGCTGGAGAAGAGGAATTGCTTTTAGCCTGCTCATCTGTGGGTGAATGTCATCCTGTTACAGAAAGAAACTCATGGGTGAATATCTGAATACTCTAATGGCTGGGCAGCTCCCTTGCAATTTGTGCTCATTTGCTGGTAATATTTCATACTGTACTGAGTATGTATCATACAAGTTAAATTGTGGGTTGTAGTGGGAATCTCTGCGTGGTGGTTAGTTTGCACTTCCACGGTGCTGCTTAGTGTCCCCGCCATGTTGCTGGGACAACTAACTACCCAAACATAGATCCCAGCAGATGTTTGTAAAACTGCATGTAATGGGAAAAGTTGCAGCGTGTTCCCTCTCAGATGCCACTACTGGTATGGGGACCTATCCTTTGAGCACAGGTGGCTGGTGGCTTTCACGCCTGCTGTGTTGAGATGCTGGTGCTACAGTGAAGAATGGTACCCTGGGGACAAAGGGGAAGAACATGACATAAGCATGGCATAAGCAGATCTGTTAAACTGGTACGGACCCTTCTGTAGACACATGTAAATCCCTCTCCACTGCTGGTTTGTGTCAGTTGAGCTTAGTTTGATAGCTGTACCTAGTTACAGGAGTTTGCTTCAGGCTTACTCAATTGCTTAGTGATCAATTTTTTGTTAAATGGTGCAATTTTTGTGTGTAGGCGAAAGCCTTAGCTCTGGTGCCGTCTGCTTCCCCGTCAGCTGCTGCAGAGTGCTCAGCCTGCTTTGGCGGGGGGTTTGCTGTGCAAAGCTCTTTCAGCGCTGGGCCTGTCCTAGATAAAGAACTGAAGACTGGGGAAAACTGCTCTGAATGTGAATCAAGAGAGTGCAATTAATTAGCTGGTGTCTAGGTTGTTTTAAAAGGGTTCTTTTCCAGCTGTGCTCAGGCTGCATGTCCTGCTGGTCACCTTGGTAGGCTTGTTCCCAGTCACCATGCGCGGGCCTGTGCGTGTGAAGGGGCAGTGGGAACTTGCTGGTGGTGCAGTGGCTGGGCAGGTGCTCTTCTTTTCCATGTGCTCAGGCTGCATGTCCTGCTGGTCACCTTGGTAGGCTTGTTCCCAGTCACCATGCGCGGGCCTGTGCGTGTGAAGGGGCAGTGGGAACTTGCTGGTGGTGCAGTGGCTGGGCAGGTGCTCGTGTGTGTTTCCACCTGCCTTAGGTTTTTCTGGGATCTAACGGCACTGTTGAATCTTTTTCTTTCCAGCAAGATTCTATGAACAGATACGGGGCCCTCAGTTCCCAGCACAAGATACTGAAGGTAAGGGAGGCGTCTGGTTTCACGTACTCACCATCTGCTGTGTGTTAAAGAATGCTCCCTGGAAGGAGAGTCAGTGCTTTCGCTAACCAGAGGTGCCTAGGAGAGACCAAGGGTTTCCTGCAGCTAGTGCCAGCACAGAGGGAGGAGACCACACAGTGGTGTTGATCTACATTCCTTCCTGACTATTGAGGTTCATGGGAGTTTCTTATTTATTCTGTTGGGCTTTGTATGAGATTACAGCCTTCACCTATACCTCATTTCAATGGTAGTCTTTGTGCAGTTTATCGCACAGGAGTTCTGTTGTTCAGCGTGTTCTTTTCTGGGTCTCTTAGTGTGAAAATGGGTCTATTCATTGTAGCTTGCCCTTTGGGCTAATACAATGTATTCCAGTCCATTTAAGAGGCTCAGAGGGGGGCGGCTTATAGCATTTTATAGCTTATCGCATGCTCTACCTGAAGCATATCTTGATGTTAAAGTTTGCTTTTGTTAGAGCATTGCAACTGTGGCTGGTGATGGTGGTTTTTAAATGTTTTTAGTTAGAGCATTGGCAGTGAAATGGTAATTTAATTCTGGGATGTAGAAAAAGGGCTAGGTTCCAGCAACCCTTAGCACCACTGGGTTGTATTTCCTGAGCAGAGTTGGACCTCCAGCTGCCTCGCTTTTGGATTCAAACTTCGGGAAAAGGGAAGTACAGTTCTGTCTCTTGGGTATTATCCAGCACTGCGAATTCTGGGAACACTTTGCAATAGTAACGTTCCCCTTCATAGCAACTGCAGTCTGAGCAGAATGCTCTGGTTTGCTTGTCTCAAGGGGACAGTGAGAGCATTTCATCCTGGCTCCCTTTCTCTTGCTTTCTTTTATTGGAGGGGGGGGGGGG